AGTCATTTCAACAGGGCTGTCTTCCAGTCTTGTTAAATCAAGCATTTATCTCTCTTCTATTAAAAAAACAAAAACAAAACAAAAAAAACAAAGACCTGACTTTATGTAGTAGTTACAGGCCCATTAGTTTATTGAATGTTGATATAAAAATTTAAGCAAAGGTGTTGGCAAGGCGCATGGATTGTGGTTTAGCCCTGCCAAAATTTCTATTTTTCTTACTGATCCGCTAATATTTCCAAGATGTCATTATGGTGTAATGCTCCAGAGTCTAACTGGTGTACACTAGAAGCTGCTTCTTGTACCTCTTCTTCCCTTCCAGCATTAGTCTTTGCTCCTTTTTGTCTCTCCAACCTTCTAGCTATACAAGAAATCCCATTGTGGTTCCAACATTTGGAAACAATTTGAAAAACATTTTCAGTTAGAATCACTTTATGTTTTCAGCTATGATTGATCACACTTTCAAAAGATGGAGTGATAACACCTTCTATCCAAATATAATTTACATACTACAGACTTATTCAGGTATTTTCCAGCTAATTCCAACTAATTTCTCTAAATTCCCCCAAAAGTCAATGCTTGAACTGCTTGAGAGTTTATTGTCAGCCCCTATAGATGGTAACCTTATCTCTTCTGTCTAAACAAATATTCTCTGATAAAGTAACAGGTCCAGTCTTTCCAGTCGGAGTTCATTATCTGTAATGTGGTAATGCGTGGGGCGCATCAGTACTGACTGTTAGCACTCCCTCTGCTTTCTCTGCAACCACTTCCTGTTTAGTGGCCATATTAACCTGGCCACCACATGACTACCTTGCGAAGTATTGCCAGTTTATCCTGCCTTACCAAGCGTTTGTATCTCTGCCTTCTTACCACGTGTATGACCTGTTCGTTTTGACTTCTCTTTTGGATTACCCCTTTTGCCGGTTTGCCTGGTTGGACTGCCTTACTGTGTTTTTGACCTCATTGCCTGTTTTACTGACCCTGAGTTTGGTTTTGTTGGACTGCTTCAATAAACATCCGCATATGGATTCTTCCTCTGCTTCCGCCTCACCATCAATACAATCCCGCTCTATATGATAATAATCCGCGTGAGACACGCGGACGTGTAAACGCCCACATCACCTCCGTAAATTAAGACTCCATAAATTTTTTGTTTTTGGAAAAAGACGCGCTGTGAGGACTAAGCCTTGTATTTACCTCAGAAGAATGCAATTTGACACGCGGCTTAATCCAGCGGAGGATATCGTTCTCATGAGTCATTAATTTTAATAGTGTTATTGTGACATAAACCTGTACACATTTACTAGTTGAACTTTTCCCAAACTATAATGCCAGACTAAAATATATGTGAAATTGAGTGCAATATTTTAAAATATAATACGCAACCTTTCATTGCATCTAAATGTTGTAGGACTCATCTGCATTTTAGCTTGCATTCTCCAGCGATTTATTACTGACGCCAAAACATGATTTTAAAATGCTTTTTTTTTTCTTAACACTGCATTTGTAACTTAAGTAAAGTAATTTTATTGACATTATTAACTGTAATCAAATTACATACATTTAAAATGTAACGCAATACATTACTGCGTTATCAGGAAAAGTCATTAGAATACAGTAACGTGTTATATCCAACTCTGTCATTCAGCCAGGTTTACGTAAAACAGTGCAGGACAGTTATTTTTCCAGGAGAGCAGCAGGAGTTAGTCAGGTAGATGAAAACCGGTAGAAGATTGTGTGGTGTGTGCTGCCCATGTTCAGCAGTTCATCTCTGGTAAAACTGATTGTATTTGATAAACAAAAAAACAGGACAAACCAACAAAAACTGTAAAACAACTGGAGAGCTCCACACTGAGGTGGCCATCTTGAAATGTCATTGTGACGCAACTCCTCATTCTTTTTATTCAGTACTGCTATGATTAAGCTATTAGACAACAGATATGTACATATTCCACTGCGCACACACACACACACACACACACACATACATATATATATATATATAACAGTGAAATAATAATTTTGCACAAAAGCATAATTTAATTATAAAAAAAAATTTGAATTGCATTAAAAATAAATAAAGTGACCTACCAGTTAGAAATAGTGCAAGAATCCAATAAATCCTCATGGCTGTATGCACTGAAACACAATTTAACATGACATTACATTTCATGTTAGTCAGACAGGACATTTTGACTCAAAAGCTTGCTAAGATGTCATAATGAATGGCCAGATCATATTTCTCGGCCATGCCTTCTCGTTGTTGCTTTCCTGGACCTTATAATTAATATTCGTGAGCAAATAAATTACAACTGAATGATGATACTTAGAAATTTTAATAGACAATAAATTGGAAACAGTTACAAACAACAGATCACATTTGTATTAATGTTTTTCACATTCTTGCACATGGGGATAAAAAAATCTATTAAAAAAAGCATTTTTTACCCCCTTTTCCTTTGTACAGAGTTAAATTTAGGTATAATATATAAGGTGTTTACTGAATTTCGCCTTTTAATATCTGCATTTAACTACATTACTACTTAATGCAATCTGCGTAAAAATAACTGGCGGTCAGTGAAGCAAAGCTTGGTTTTGCCCTCCATGTGGGCGTTCCTCTGAGTGTGTGACGTCACGTGAAAACCATCAATAGAATGTTAAATATTCACTGTTTACACACAAGTAGCCCCCTTACTGTTCGCCATGCAGGAGTCATTTCAACAGGGCTGTCTTCCAGTCTTGTTAAATCAAGCATTTATCTCTCTTCTATTAAAAAAACAAAAACAAAACAAAAAAAACAAAGACCTGACTTTATGTAGTAGTTACAGGCCCATTAGTTTATTGAATGTTGATATAAAAATTTAAGCAAAGGTGTTGGCAAGGCGCATGGATTGTGGTTTAGCCCTGCCAAAATTTCTATTTTTCTTACTGATCCGCTAATATTTCCAAGATGTCATTATGGTGTAATGCTCCAGAGTCTAACTGGTGTACACTAGAAGCTGCTTCTTGTACCTCTTCTTCCCTTCCAGCATTAGTCTTTGCTCCTTTTTGTCTCTCCAACCTTCTAGCTATACAAGAAATCCCATTGTGGTTCCAACATTTGGAAACAATTTGAAAAACATTTTCAGTTAGAATCACTTTATGTTTTCAGCTATGATTGATCACACTTTCAAAAGATGGAGTGATAACACCTTCTATCCAAATATAATTTACATACTACAGACTTATTCAGGTATTTTCCAGCTAATTCCAACTAATTTCTCTAGTTTCCCCCAAATGCCAAAAAAATAACTGCTTGAGAGTTTATTGTCAGCCCCTATAGATGGTAACCTTATCTCTTCTGTCTATCTCATGTTGCTTTCATCTAGATCTTCATCTGTCTTATGTTTGACGTTAAAATGGGAGAAAGAGTTAAGAGCTCAGCTTTTCTGAAGAGCTCTGGTCTGAGGCTCTTGTTAGAGTTAATTCTGCTTGTGCCCGGTTAAGTCTGATTCAGTTAAAAGTTTTGCACCGAACCCAATTTACCAATCTAGACTTCATAAATTCTTCCCAGAAAGAGATGACTCTTGTATCATATGCTCCTTTTTTCTAGTTGACCATGTTCGTACATTTTTCAGTTGCCCTAAATTGGCCTCATACTGGGCTTCCTTTTTTTGATTTTCTTTCTAGGCAGTCATTAGGGGGGCCAAGCTTGTTGACAGGGGGGCACTGGCCCCCCCCTAGAACCGCCCCTGCATATGACTCCTATCAAAATCCATAATGTTACATTTGATAAATACTGATCAAAATGAATATGAATAAATGATCAGATTGTGCATTTTTTGCATTTCAGGTATCGTTATTAAAGGTTGCACATATAAATCTTATCAAAAATCCATTTGAAAATAGCTCGTATTATTAAATCTAACAAAAGAACATGCATTACGCTACTAAACTGTAGGTGGTGTGACTCTAAAAAGACCAGGGGCCTGTACTATGACGGTAGATGAACAAATTCAGATTTACAGGATTAGTTTCGAGTTGACAAAACCAAACCACTCCAATCCAGCTTTATTGGTACCATGATGCTGATCATCAACTTTCTTTGTCAACTCAGGCTTTGATCCTAAGTTTGTGGAGCATGTGCACATGAATGTGTGACATCACTGGCGAACAGCCAATCACGAGCCTTGGTTAAAGGTTTTGCTAAAGGTTAAGAGATTGAAGAATATGATGAATTTAAATGCATTTACAATGAAAAAAGTACTTGTACTAAATTATCTTGCTTTATCAGTGCAGTCACAAGTCAAACTTGTTATATACAGCGATAGAGACTCGAACATGTAAGGTCACGTAGTCATTTTTAAAGCATTATCTATTGATTCTACGGCTTATTTATATTACATACAATCTGTATATATATTAACATTAATTTAACAAATGATTTATAATAACTGTTAATCTAAAATTGCTTGTGTGTAATGGATTAATAATAATATAAATTATAAATATAGTACTAGTGACCTTGAATTTGGAGCAAGATAAACTGGGGGAGTGACTTTTTGTGTGTCAGACATGTGTCCCTTTGCTCACATCTGATTGGTCCAATTTCAATTTGAGATCTCTAACTCAGAACGTAAGCTGCCCAGGAGCAGGTTAGCTGTGGAGTGTAAGTTACTATGGCAATGAACGCAGCTAAAAGCCAAGCCACTCATGGTACCTAAAACCCAGGATTGGTGCAAACTAAACTGAAACTTACCTGGCTAGCCAGCTAATCCGGCTTCATGGTACAGGCCCCAGATCCGCCCTAAACCTCACTTTCGGCCTGAAACGGGTGACCCGAGTCGTGTGTCCTGAAGCGTGTGTGCTGCGGGGCTGCAGATGGATATATCTCAGAATATTAGCGAAAGTGGATTTCTTCGTTATCTCGCACATGACGTAAGCGTGCTCCGGCCCGGAAAGTTTAGTGCAAGTGTGCGGGCAGGCCAGCGGGGGAGCGGGGAGGGCTCGGTTCAAGGCAACTGTGCCTAGTGGGAGTTAGGGCTGGGCGATATGGGCAAAAATTCATATCTTGGTATTTTTAGCTAACATATGTAAACATCACTGAAATATCAATGACGATCTGCTGCGTGAGATCACGTGAGGCGCTCCCTCTGGCATGATAATCTTAGTAATATCTTGTAGTGTGTGATGCACCATGATGTTGGATACTTAAGATTTGGAGACCAAATATAACACTATAATGAATTTCTTATATTTGTCATATACACTATATTATATTCTATGTGTTTAATGCATTTACAGACAATGTAATTACATGTAACTGTCATATTACTGTATATTCACTGTTTTAGAGGAGAGTGCCATTGAATGTGTAGCTAATATGAAGTGGGTTTTCATGAACTAAAATCAGAGCTGAAAACAAACATTGGATTAAAAAAAAACACTCCCAATAAATGTCCAAACAGCGATGCTATCAGAACATTTATTGTGAACATATCTTGCATCATTTACATCTATTTTTGCAGTTGATGAGGAATTGTTACTTATTATTGTCATCATACCAACTGAGAATTTATTGCAATGATTTTAAATTCAGTTGAGGTATCTGACATATGATGACATAACATTGATCTTTTATATGAAGTCTTTAGAGACATAGACTATAATATGTTGTTTTTATATGTTGTTATTGAGAGACCAACCAGGACAGAGGTTATATGTACAAATCATCCAAGCACCCAATTCCTAGCCATTTCTAATATAGGCTACATTTCATTGACATTGCTAAATATTATTAAACTGGATCCATCTTTGATTGTCAAAAGAATTCCGGGTTCACCTCCCTCCCAGCCAATTAGATTTCAGCATTTTCATCGGTCAGTCGTGGAGGTCTGATTGGTTAAAGCTTTATTTATATAGCACCTTTTAAAACAGTGTTTACAAAGTACTTTACAGAGAGATGCATATGTGCTTTCACAGAAAAGAACAAAATACAAACATAAAAGAGATAAAGTGGGCCTAGTAAAACAATGTACAATAACCAGTTTATATATAGTTTAAATACAACAATAATAAAAATTTAAAAAATCAAGGAAAGGCCCTAAACAAATCTGTTTTGAGACTACTTTTTAAAAGTGCATAATAACTTTTGACAACATTTAATTCAGGTGTGAAAAGAATGAATATCTGCATGAGCATAGAGACACAGTTTGAGAGGAGAGACACGTTTAAAGCGTGCGCACTCTCTCCGGGCGAGAGCAGCGTGCATCTGAGCGCGAGAGTCCGGTTCTGTGCATCTCGCTCGCGCATTATCTTTATGTGCTTTCGACATTTGTCATTAAAATAACGCCATAACGGCCGTCCCGGTTATCTTGTGTATAGTGTATTGCCATTTCTGTCATTAGATCCTTCTAAATATTACAATGCACAATGAATATATCATGATAACGTTACCTGTTTGCATTAGTCAGATGAGGCTCGGCTCTATGCGCTCCCAACAAAACTTCCAGGGGGTGAATGCTTAAAAAAAAAGACAAGAAAACTTGAGAAAAAAAAAAGACTTCTAAAGTCTACATCGTGAAATAAATCCGAAAGCTTAGAAAGACCTACAGGCTGCGTTGACGCCAGGTGTCCTCTGTCGCGTCCGGTATTCCAGTCGTGTTCTGACGCCGCCGGTCGCGTTTGTGAACTGTGTGAAGCCTCTGATGGTCATGTGATCCCCCCCCCAGTTTGTGTTGGTATGTTCCACCGAAATATAATAGAGGAGGCGCGTTTGAGATGCACCACAGGACCTAGCGCCGTAGTTGCATCAGCTGTTGTACGTCGCGCACCGTTCTCGTGCAGGCAATTTTTTGAGACCGCGCGATGATACAACAGCGCGAGCCCTCCTGATGACAAAAAGTACGTAATGCGGAAGGTGCGCGGACGGCCGAAATCCACTCTGGCCTTAAAGAGACGGCCGTCAGCTAGTGTGCTGAACCAACGTCATTCATTTTCCAAATATAAGCAGCAGGTTAACCAGAACATTTTCTTCCAAACTAGGGCCTAGAATATCATTATATGCTTAAACATTAAGATTTCTAGAATCTAGGGAATTTTGTGATTCTAATGCACAATAAGAATTGAGAAGCACATTAACCCCCCTCTCTCTCTCTCTCTCTCTCTCTCTCTCTCATTTCAATTCTATATGTGTTTATTAGCATGACTGTGTAACACAATGTTGCCAAAGCATTCACATATATATATAACAACATAAATAACAACATAAATAATAATAAATAAAATCCTTCTACCCACTGAAGATTGAGATTGATTCAGTTCATTGATGTAGATGTTAAATAACATTGGGCTTAAGCAGCAGCCCTGTCTCACTCCACGCTCCTGGGAAAGATACCTCGTACGTTTGGTGCTGATCTTTACGCCACATTTACTTTCAGTGTACATTGATTTGATAAGCTCATAGGTTTTACCTCCTATGCCACTTTCAATAAGTTTGTAGAATAGTCCTTGGTGCCAAATTGAGTCAAAAGCTTTTTTAAAGTCAATAAAGCATGCATATATTTTACCTTTATCTTGGTTAACGTGTTTTTCAATTAGAGTATGTAATGTATAGATGTGATCAGATGTACGGTAATTTGGTAAAAATCCGATTTGGCTTCTGCTCAGTACATTGTGTGTGGTGATGAAGTCTAATAGTCGAGCGTTTATTATGCTACAGAATAACTTTCCCAGGTTGCTGCTCACACAGATGCCTCTGTAGTTGTTAGGATCA